AATGCGACAACTAACATTAAGAAGCCGGCATTTACAAAGGATTTAAGAAAATGCATGTTGGGTGAGTATGAAATTGGTGAATTTCGAAAGAAGTGGTCTGAAATGTTGAACAAGTTTGAGTTGCATGATCATCCTTGGGTTATAGAGTTATTTGAAAAGAGGAAGATATGGTGTACAACTTATATTAGAGGGGCTTTCTTTGCTGGTTTAGGGCAACTTGTTATCAGGACAGTTCATGGCTCGAAATATCTTTTCTATTTTTTTAATCCATAATTCAGCCTTTTCAGGATTATATTCTCCATCAAATTGGGAAGGTTTATTTCTCCTAAATTCCACTAATCCTTGTGACTCCTCCATTCCTTCCGGTCGTTGATTCCTTAACAAGGCTGCATCCATGTCTTTAATAGCTTTCACAGCTTCTGGCATTTTTGTGTTTCTTCCTCCTGCCATCTAATATTTTTATGGATTAGTTTATTATACTAGAAACATGGTTAGCACATTTCCCAAGTTACACATGGAACGTTGCTCTGATACCATTAAAATGTAACGCCTAGTCGTATTAATATTAATCTCAATAATATACGTATATATATATATATATATAATATTTATAGATAGAAAAAACATGTATAGTAATAATATTATACATAATAACATACTAATAATATTTACCACTACGTGCGTACTTACTTACTTTTACATATATATTACATTTTATTAAAAATATTTACAATACGTGTCTATTTACATACCATAGTTTCTTTTTCTACTTCTATTATAATTTTTACATGGGTGGTTGAAACAAATTTACAATTGGATTCACATGGTTAGCGGGCGGTAAAAAGAAAGTGACTATTATTGGGCCGTCGATCACTGTAGGGACTTCTTGGTTTGGAGAGAAGGTAAAAGTCGACATTGCCACTCCATTAAATGTGACTGCGTTTGTTACCGCATCTACATTCCATGTAGTTCCAGAAAAGACTGCAAATATCACTAAGGGAAAAGGTCCTAGAATGTTGGGCGCATCAATCTATATATATATATATATTTGTTTTTTTATATATAAATTAACACAAATTTTAAACAAGAAATATAAGGAGTGAGAACAATTTTCAAAGAAATATTTATAATTACTTAACATGCGTAACAATAGTTAATATTAGAAAATATACATATAAAATTTCAAATTACACTTGCAGTGACTAGTCAAGATAAATGAGCATTATAATATCAACCAACGAAAGAATTTTTAATCTTAACTTCTTACTCATTTAAATCCTCAAGGTCAAACCTCCAGTTACAAATAATTCAAATTTTATTTTCTATGGCTATAGAATAATATTTATCTTTAAAACGAGTCAAAGACATTTTAACAAAATTATATTATAATCAATCATAAAAATAATCATGCTAAATAAATTTGAGAATTTATCATTATTTAAGCTTTAATTAAATAACATATACGTAAATAAAATATATTAAGAGCACCAATTAATTAAATGACAATGATAATCATTATAAAATAATTAAACAATATAAAATATGAACATATTAATAGTTATTATGGATAAAAATAATCATAGATTAAGCAAATAAATGAGGTTAGAGACACCCCACTAAATAAATATACATAAAAATAGCATAAATAAATAAACATAGTAGTATATAAAATTTAAAGAGTTAAAGTTCTCCTCCCCCTTACCTTAGTAGAGATATAAAATTGTTCCTAAAAGAGTGTACTACAACTTTCTTTCTCACGTACTTTTTTTTTCTCTTTTTACGTTCTCGTTCTCTCCCACTGTGCTCGAATGTTTCAAATGGTTACTCCTATTTATAGGGGTGTAATACCCCTTGATTACGTAAGATCATGCGTAACCTACATTATCAACTGCTGTGCTGTTCAATAATTTCTCTACACATATATACATAATACGTTATCTACTGCTCTGTACATATTTATCTACTGCATCTCATATTCATATTTATCTACACCTATTCATCATTTCACTACACACATGTCACACATACACGTACACCACTCACCACACATCTCATATTATCTACACCTATTCATCATTTCACAGCACACACGTCACACATACACGTAATACACCACATCACTTATCTTTTATTATTTAATTTAATTATATTTAATTACTTATTAAAATATATAAGTTATTATATACATTATAATAAATAGCTTTGATTATTTATATATATATATATTTATATATACATGATGATTAAAATATTATTCTAAAAATGTGAATTATAACTATCTAAAAATAATAATAATAATAATACAGTCAATTTTATTTATTTTAAATAAGGTAATTAAAATTTAAAAGAAATATTATTTTTAAATATATATATATATATATATGTATATAATATAAAATTGAGAATGTTGTAACAAATTTAGAATATTACAAGAATATATTATCTTTCTTATAATTAAGACCCAAATCAAAAGTATAATTTCTCAAGAAATAATCTAACATGTATCTTGTATTAATTATTTTTTTCAAAAATATTCTTAATTATAGTTACTTTCTCTTAATTTAATAAGTAGTTGGTAGATATATATTAAAAAAATTGAAAATATAAATTTAAGATAAATCTAGTATTATTAACTAAATAAAATAATTTCCTTAATTTGAATGATTTAAATAATTGAGTGATGTAAGACTGGAGAGTATTAAAAAGTGTGTGCTGAGATCCTCCTCTTGGGAAGAAAAATAAACGTGTGCTTTAATTTCTAAGTTCATCTTATGCAAAGAAAATAAAATAAAAACATTACGTACGTTCCGAAATAATGTTACGTCCTATATGGAAAACAATATCGCAAAGATTGTGAAACGTGGAGCATTAGTAGATACAGTGTATCCAGCAAACCTTTTTCAGTCACTAAAAAGCAAAAGAAAATATTAAAAAAGATTCAAAACAAATATATTTTTTTATTCAAATTGCATACCCATCTTTATTTATTTTTTCATCATTTCTAAAATAATCCATCATTTCCCCTGATATATTATTTAGAGAGGCTTCTTATGCTGAAACTTAATATACGATTTAGTGTGTCTAAAAGGTGGGACCTAGGACCTAATGTATGTATATTTAACTCTATCTAAATTATCCTTGTATTTATATTTACTATGGAGTGGAGTACTTTATACTTCCTAATAGTTTTCTTTGTCAATATATATACAGGTAAAACAAAATAAATACGAAATATAATTAACTACTTAATTATTTATAGTTGATAATTAAGTTCAAATATATTTTTCTTCATATGTTTCACGAATATGTAATTATAGTCTCTCATAAGTTTTTATTAATTTAATCTTTTAATTTTTAAAATTAATAATTCATTAACATATAACAAATTAAATAAAAAATGATAATGCGATTAACCGATTATAAATGAAACTGTATGTCAATTATTTGTCACGTTAACTTTCATGTAAGGAATACTATTATTTTTTTTATTATATATACATATATGTTGTTTCTTTTTTATTATAATTAAAATTTATACCTGATTAAAATAATTTTAATTTTTAATATTATCTAACTACAAGTATCATCACAGACACTCATCAACTTTTTCTATTGAATTTTGAATAACATACTAACTATAGATTAATATTGCTTAATTTGAATTGATAATGTGATCAACTTTATTATAAAATTAGTTTAATGCATGTGTTATATTTGTTAGCAATAAACAAAAGAAAAGGTATGTGTAACCGACCGACATGTTCCACCCGTATGCAAAGATATCAATTATAATACACATGTTCATATATGACAATAAATAAACATGTTATATACACCAAAATGATATTTGTTTTTACTATATTTTAATGTTATAAAGTTTATTTCTTTTATGTAAAAGTAATATTTGAATTCTCGAGTTTTCAGATAAGATGGTCCAGCTTAGAGAAATATCGATTCAAAACTTTGAACAGCACCACAAAGGAGACATTGGCGTCATCCTACTTCCATGTTCTGCAATATAATATTTTCAAACATTGTAGATAAATTATTGCCATATTTTGCATTCGTGATAATAATCAACTATATATTAAAGGAGTTTGAAGAAAATCGATTTAAAGCATGAGGAAGAGCTAAAGTTTGAAACAAATCTATGTAATTAATTAAGTGGAAATTAAAAGAAAAATATCTAAAAGCTATAAACTATAAATCAAGTGTTAGTTATTTATTCTACATGATGTTGAATATAGGATAAACATTGTTAATGTTAGGCGTATTATCTCAAATTTCTTACCTTCTATTTAGCTTTTCTTTTTCTTTTATGCTTTCACTTGGTTGGACGTAAAGATAATAAATAAATTTGTACACGTGAATAATATCTCAATTCGTCTTGGCTTTAAAGAGAAATATCCAGTTTGACCGAGTATAGATATAAATAAAACTCGAAATATTAAATCCAGGACGAGTATATACTTACCTGCCCAGTCCCGTTCTCGTTCCCGATTTTGATTATTTTAAAGAATTATAATATTTAATTATATATAATTATTTATTATGATGTAAAATATTTGTGATTGTTTAATTATTAAAAAATCTCTTGATTAAAATATGACACAAGATAAAGATTTTGACACAGAACCAAAAAGAATGAAAAATGCCACTAGTTCAACTTGGGCCTTAAATAACGACATTAGTGGGTATCCACAAGCTTTAGCACCAGAATACAAAACAAGTAGGACAATTAGCAAGTAGCAATCAAATAATAAACCAAAATACTGCAAAAGATTAAATTGAACACTTCAGCATCATGAATCAACGTCAACTATAGCCATTGGTTAGAAAGTATATATTGCAACTTGTCCTTTTCTGCGGTTTTCACGTTTTATCTTCTCAAACCTTTTTATACGGTTCAACAAACACCACAGTTACAACTTAGACCATTATTTTATAATATATTATATGATCACATTCTTTCACCCCCACACCACAAAAGTCTTGTCATCCTAGTGTATCAAATTGCTAATTTCGAATGTCACTATCTCCCTTTACTAACCTGTAGTGATTATATTTTCTGACAAAATGTCTCTTAACTCCTTGTAAAGGTGATCAATGCATGACATGACTAGGGATTATCACTTGGGTATGTACAAAACAATGGGTTAATTATTTTAGTAATACAGGATCACTTGTCTAGTTTTTCAATCACCTAGAACCTGCACCAAAAAAGAAAATGTTTTAACTAATTAAAACTATAAATTTATGTGCGAAATTCATGATCAAAATAACTTGCTGGCAAAAGCATAAAATTGTATTTATTTTGAACGTAGGCATGTTAGATGGTTCTACCTCAATTGGTTTTAAGATGAAACTTAACAACTAAAAACTTGTCAGGGTAAAAATAATGATCTTTACTAGCACTCAACATTTAGTTTGAAGATAAAGAACTAAAATACATCCATAATTCAAGTAGAGAAACAAACTTACCTTGACAACTTTGGCACTTCCAATTGTGTACAGTATACACATGACCTACATCTGAGTATAATAGTAAGTTGATGCCTTGATGGGGCCACCTGAATTTAGATGAAGCTAGTTGTACATTTCAGCATAATAATGAATGCAAGTGTTGTGTGAATAGTATTGTTCCTTGTAGAATAACTACTGAAATGGGAAATTTCTTAGAAAAAGCATGATGTATAAAGTAGTTTTGTGCATTTGGCCAATTGAAAATGATTGTTTGTCTGACATTTCGAAGTTGGATTCCACCGAGTAGATTTTGTCAAACCAACTAAATGCACTTACTAATCCTAAGCACCAAGTTTATCTAAGCTTGCTCCATTTCCATGCAACTAATATGATATTTATAACAATGATGTCTGTGAGTGTAGAGGTAAAATGAAGGGGTAAAAACTAAAACTATTAGGTAACTTTCATTGGTTGTGAAGCAGTGCAGTATCTTTCAAACAAAGTTCCTTTAAAGATAGATCTTGACTACTAATACATTTAAGTAGTGAGTCTTTCTACTTTAGTCCACACTTATACTTCAAATCCATGATTGATTTGCCATTACAAATATGATACCGATGCATTTTCATTGTACAATTGGAACACAGTGGATAATGATATTCGAAAAAGACTTGAAGAAAATTCTACATCTTGAACTCACAATATGAAATTTTTTATTTGCTCAACATGTTAGTATCCACATCACATTTGACTTGCAATAAGATCTTAAAAGAAATTCAAGCCGTAGAAAATTATAGTCGATAATTTTAAGCCGTCACCTTGCAGTGGACAAATGAACCATTACGTGGATCTTCTTTTCTATCGTTATCAAAGCTTCAAAACTTTAGAACTCATCGCATGACTTCAGTTTTAAGAAAAAGATCTAGCCACAAAAAGTAAAATAAAGCAACAAAGAATTCAAATGGGGGAAAAAAAGAACAAGCTAATAAGAAAAATGGTAGCACGAATGAAATGTACCTTTCACGGGGACCAAGGGAGTTTGTAGTTCAATGTATATAACTCTCCATATTTGACTTCTGGACAAAAGCAATAAGCTTCCACTCATGACCCGTCATTCTCGTAAGCCAAAAAAAGTTATGAAAGAAAAGTAAGTCTTGCATTTTTGGCCCGCTCTAGTTATGTCTAAAGTATCAACATCAACCAAACTAGTGTGATGTCCATTATTTCAAGCATAAATTTCCAAAGCTCACTACTTAAAAGAATACAACAGTTAGCAATCTCATATTCTGATTATATAGTGTAATTAAAAGAAGAGGAACATACAATTATAATGAGATAAATAACACAGAAATGGAAAGTAACTAAAAGTTAGTATCAATTATGATCATGGTAAAGGAGTTTAATAATAATGAAAATGATTGATCCAAGCAATGTGACACCAGTTATCCTAAACAAGTGTTTTTCAAAGATAAGATACACAAAAGGTGCCAAGGTCAAAAAGAAGCCTTATAGAGAATGGTTGGTTAGTTATTAGATTTTGATACCATGACTACATATGAATCGTGTATGCTAAAATATTCTCAAGAAAGTAACACGATTATCTTCATTAACCGTTTTACAAGAATTTCATTACACTTACAACTAACAACCACGTTCATATTAACCTTAACAAAATAAGCAAAATTTATCCTTCAAAACTATTCCTAGTTTATTTTATGATGAACAATGGTTTTATATAAGTGGCACTTATCTTGAGGGAGTGCCTACCTTGAGAAGAGAGGAAGGATTAAGAGTGTGCATGGTTTGGTTTTTCAAAAAAACTGCACCAAACTGAACCACACCATTTTACTGAACCGGTTTATAAATCATTTGAACCACTTTAATAAACTGGTTTAAAAACTGAATTGCTTTAATAAACAGGTTTATAACCGGGTTTAAAATTAGTTTCATAACCAAACCTAATTTTGAACTAGTTTTAAGAAATGAACTGGTTTTAAACCAGTTAGAATTGATTTTTCTATATTTTTTTCGGCTATAAAACATCACAAACCAGTTTATTGCCTTTTAATATATTAAAATCAGTTTCAAAACCTATATTTTTTCTGTTATAAAAACGTCAGCAGTTTAATGATGTTTCCTATATATAAAGGTAGTGTCAAAAATAAAAATATATATGCAATGACCATGAAAAACCATACTTTAAAAATATATGCATAAAATCACCAATCAATATCCTAAGTTGCATCAAGCATCCATTATAAAAATTGCACTTGCGTAGAGCCCATCACAAGAGCAGATGCACTTGCGTAGATCCATTATAAAAATATATATACAATGATCATGCCGCTGCTTAACAGCATTTCAAGTCTTCTTTCATCAAAACAGTTGGATAAAATCTGCATTATACACTAGTAACTAGTAAGACAGAGGACAAAGAACACCACTTTGTTTACTACTCATTCATCTCCGCGTGAACTACTGTTTTCTTTTAAAAATCTAGCAAGAGAGTTTCCACCACTTTTAATTGCCTGCAATCTCAGACATTCCAGAAGTGAGTACATTTCAGTTAGTAGTCCATGGATGCTCTGAAAAAAGTTAGCAGAACATGTTAAAAACTGAATCTTAATAAGATTGCATGGGTTAATAAGTTATATTTTATGGCACAACTCAGTCATTGCATATAAGAATAGTGGTGAGCATTCAAAAATAGAGGACAGAAAGACAAACCTGAAAGGGTACTATGTAAAATGTCCAGTATAACAGACAGACTTAAAAGAGGAACCATATCTGTGACATAATCCACCACGTCCTGCTCAGTGCTAAATACATAGCCAAAAACCTCCCTGCAGGCAAAAATGATTGAGCTCACAAGAATGGCCTCCAAAGCTGCAAGAGCCATAGCAGCAGAAACAGACACTCGTGCTGCTTGTGAATTTCCAGCTCCTAATGCATTTGAAGTTTGAAGTTTCAAGCTCTGGATTTGGTAGAAGACCAGAAAGCAAGGTTAGCAGCTCAAATGACCACCATCCAAGGCTGCAATCATCAAATATGTAAGAAACAGACCATGGTTGAAAACCAAAGGGCAAATAAAAACACCGCATAAAAGATCATGTATGAGGAAGAAACTCACCAAATCATTCCAGCAGAAGGAATAGCATAGTGAAAGAACTCCCCATTCCCATGGGATAGTTCCATTGTAATTGGGACCTGAGTCGTTTCACACTCAGGAGAGAATTTCATATATAATACGAGTAAAATGATCACATTCAGCCAGTATGAAGTTCCAATAGAATGTTGCTCCTACTTCCCTATAACGCATATAACTCACAAGATGATTAAGCTGTTGAACAAACTCTGTCAGATTAATCTTCGGATGAATATATTTTTTCAACTCAGAATGTAATCCTTCACACCGAGAAGTTGCCCTAAACCAGCCTTTCGTATAACACTTTGCCCCCGATACCTCAAGGTTATGAAAATCTGTTTCTGGAACAGGATCACCATGAATTGATGCAAAGTCAGCTTCAACTTCCCTATAACGCATAAAACTCACAAGACGATTAAATTGTTCAACAAACTCTGTCAGATTAATCTTCGGATGAATATATTTTTTCAACTCAGAATGCAATCCTTCACACCGAGAAGTTGCCCTAAAACCAGCAAAGAAAGCCCCTCTAATATAAGCTGTACACCACATCTTCCTCTTTTCAAATAACTCTATAACCCAAGGATGATCATGCAACTCAAACTTGTTCAACATTTCAGACCACTTCTTTCGAAATTCACCAATTTCATACTCACCCAACATGCATTTTCTTAAATCCTTTGTAAATGTCGGCTTCTTAATGTTAGTTGTCGCATTTCTTAATAAGTGCCATGCACACAATCTATGGTTTGAATTAGGAAATACCTTTCTTATCGCATTTTTCATTGCAACATCACCATCAGTGATAATAGATATTGGTGACTTTCCTTTCATGGCTTCTACAAATTGCCCAAGTACCCAAATATATGTTTCTTCACTTTCATTTGAAACAATAGCACTCCCAAATACTATCGTATGATTGTGATGATTAACACCAGAAAATACAACTACAGGACATAAATACTTATTTTTCCCATATGTTGCATCAAAAGCTAACACATCACCAAAAACTTCATAATCCATCTGCATCATGCCATCACACCAGAACAAATGTTGCAATCTGTTTTCCTCATCAACAGTGTGACCAACATACATTAAAGGATCATTGTGTTTTAAACCATTCAAAAATTCCAACGCACATTTTGAATCCAAACCTTGCAACCTTCTTTGCCTTCCAATTTGATTGTATATGTCCTTTTTACAAAAAGAAAGTCTCT